ATATATATATATATATATATATATATATATATATATATATATATATATATATATATATATATATATATATATATATATATATATATATATATATAGTTAAAAAATATGTACCATTTTCCCAAGTGTATATAACTACTACTGTAAGAAAATATCAGAATTCGGTACATACTTTCTGTATTATCTTTGCTTGAACTGAGCCGATCTAATCCTGTTTATATGAATTGAACCTGCTCCCGATCAGGTTTGACCTAGCAGAACTGTTGCTATGACAACAACTCTCGGATCAGCTTTGAAGAACGAAACGATCCTGGATCGTGTCAAATCGTCAATATCCAAATCCAGCTGAGTAATCCACGTACGAAGAACGGACCCCTGGATTAGAGCCCGAACGCAGGCGGGTTTATCAGCAGCCGGAGGCACAAAAGCTCCAGGAACTGAACTGAGAGACCATGAGATCAGAAACGTCATGCAGATCAGGACGGCATGCAGACCATTCTGGGTCGAGTTACTGCCGTGACCCAGGCATTTATACTTCTGCATGCAGCTTGTGTTGCTCTGCAATAACACTTCTGAAACGCTACGGAATAAAATCGCTGTCATAAATATTTCACGCGTAAATAAAAATTCACGCATCTGTAATTATGAACACGTAAAGGAAATTGAAGCGTACTCGTAATTTTACGAGGGTACAATTCCAAACTCTGCGATTAGAACAGACACATATACGACATTTTCTTTGTCTGTTTGTATACGCTTGATAAACTTACGAAGGGTGTACTTTACAAACACGAAACAGTTTCACCATGGACATGAAGACCTGATTATGAGTACGAATCAAAAATCGACACTCCACTGTCAAAACTACATCACCGCTGTCACGAGCATTAATAACAAGCGAGAGCCATCGATCACAACGATGTAAAAAAGACTAAAGTACATGGTCTAATCGGAAATAAAGAAAATTATTTATATATTTCATTGTTTAATGCATAAAATAGGCTAGTCTTTTTATAAACTAAGTTTAATTGATATGAAACTGATAATTGCATTTTTATTTCCTGTAAATAATAAAAGTTGCGGCAGATTGATGAAAACGATGCTGAACACCTGCGTGAACGGCCACAATAACTTCTTTTTTTTTATTTTTTTTTACATTGAAACAATATTAAAGTGATTTCTATCTACATGGCTGGCAAACGCAGCAGAAAAAAACTGCTGAATCTCTGCAAATATTTGTTTAACTTATAAATCAAATGTTGTCTGGTTTAGTGATGTTAGAAATGCATAGAAAAACGCAAAGCAGAATTCTCCTGAGCTCATAAACCCACTGATCACAGCCACTTTTGATGGATTTTAAGGTGGTTACTGAGGTTTGGTGTGTTACCTTGGGAGGTTTGGACTGAACAGGAGGAAAGGCTACTTGATCAACATTGCATTCCTTGAAAAAAACACTTGCAGTCTAGACACCGTCTCCTCATGCCTGTGATGCGGTACAATTCGAAACTCCGCCCATTAAAATAATGGCTTGGTCTTTATGCAGTAATATCACAATGATATTTAATTATTGATCGTGGGCCACAAATATCATTATGGCGATCATAATAGGATTAATCGTGCAGCCCAAAAACAGGCCGAGGATAGTGAGCATAATGTAAGTTAACGTTACAGGCAGCGAGCGTGTTTAACCTGAACATGACTGTTGATAACACCCATGACCCCCATCCCTAGAAAAGCTTGGGTCTATAGCGATCAGTGATTGGCTCCTGTACTAGTAGGTGGTTCGCTATATTGATCTTGACACTTTTTTCCATTCAAAACTATACGAGTGATCTGTCGTGTGTATATTCTATAGTCTTATGCACCATTTGCTTAATAGCAGTATTCAGTTCCTTATTAAAAACATCACACGGGCACCAGCTAACCAGTGTAAAGTGATGCTCTTACCTGTGTGTCAGCACTGCCGACAGACTTCTCCTCCTCTTTCTCCTTCTCCTCCTCTTCTTTCTCCTGCTCTTCCTCCTGTGGTCTGCTCTGAGCCTCCTCTTTCACCTCTACCTCCTCCGTCCGCTCTGCAGCTCCTCCGTCCGGCTGGTCTCCGCTCTTCTTCTCCTCCTCGTCCTCCTCCTTGACGCTCTTCTCCTCGATGGGCTCTGTGTGTGGCGTTGGGCTCTCAGCCGGTTTCTCCTGGCTCTGGGATTTCTGTCGTTTAAGCCATGGAGGCAGGAAGCGAGAGATGCCCTTCTCCTTCTTCTGTGCGCTGGCAGCAGGAGGACTGCTGGGGTCAGGAGATGCAGACGCTTCTGGCTCACTCTGGGGCTCCGCGATCTGATTCTCCTCCTGAGACATAAACACACAAGCGCTCAGACACTGCTGTCAGCTTTACTGCATAGCGTACTGCATTCACCTGATTCATCTGGCCTGATACGTCTGATTCACAGTTTTCACCTGATACATCTGATTTAACCCAATTGATCAGGTCTGATATGTCAGATTCGCAGCAATGATTTGATTCACTGTAATCTCATTTTGCATTAATCATCTGATTCGCGGTGATCTGATTCGCAGCAATTATCTGATTCCCAATAATCATCTGATGCACAATCATCTGATTCGCTGTAATAATCTGATTCCCAATTACCATCTGATTCACAATTATCATCTGATTCTCAGTAATCTGATTCACAGCAATTATCTGATTCACAATAGTCATTTGATTCACTGTAATAATCTGATTCACATTCATCATGATTCTCAGTAATCTGATTCACAACTATCTGATTCATAGTAGTCTGATTCACAGCAATTGTTTGATTCCCAAATATCATCTGATTCAATCATCTGATTCGCTGTAATAATTTGATTAACATTCATTATCCAAATCTCAGTAATCTGATTCACAGCAATTATCTGATTCACAATGATTCACAGTAATAATCTGATTCGCATATATCATCTGATTCTCAGTAATCCGATTCACAATAATCATCTGAGTCCCTGTAATAATCTGATTGACAATAACCATCTGATTCACATTCATCATCTGATTCTCAGTAATCTGATTCACAACTACTATCTGATTCATAGTAGTCTGATTCGCAGCAATTGTTTAATTCCCAATAATCATCTGATTCGCTGTAATAATTTGATTAACATTCATTATCCAAATCTCAGTACTCTGATTCACAGCAATTATCTGATTCACAATGATTCACAGTAATAATCTGATTCGCATTCATCATCTGATTCTCAGTAATCTGATTCAAAGCAATTATCTGATTCACAATGATTAGCTGTATTAATCTGATTCACATTCATCATCTGATTCTCGATAATATGATTCGCAGCAATTATCTGATTTACAATAATCATCTGATACGCTGTAATAATCTGATTGACAATAACCATCTGATTTACATTCATTATCTGATTCTCAATAATCTGATTCACAGCAATCATCTGATTCACAACAATCATCTGATTCGCTGTATTAATCTGATTCACATTCATCATCTGATTTTAAGTAATCTGATTTGCAGCAATCATCTGATTCACAATAATCATCTGATTCAGAACTATCTGATCCACTGTAATAATCTGATTTACAATAACCATCTGATTCACATTCATTATCTGATTCTCTGTAATCTGATTCACAGCAATTATCTGATTCACAATAATGATCTGATTCACTGTAATAATCTGATTTGCATTCATCATCTGATTCGTAGTAGTCTGTTTGATGCAATTAATTTATTCCCAATAATCATCTGATTCAATTATCGGATTCGCCATAGTAATCTGATTCACATTCATCATCTGATTCTCAGTAATCTGATTCACAGCAATTATTTGATTCACAATCATCTGATTAGTTATATTCATCTTCTTAACACATCTCGGGATGTAAACATGGCTTTTTTCACAAACAACTCATCCCTAAATCCACTACTTTAGCTCCTGCATACTGAGGTTTGTTCTGAATTAATGTCACTGCAAGTCTTTGCGTTGGCCAGTCACTGTCTAGCATGCAGATGAGTGATCTAAACTGTACCTGTGGTTGGTCGGCAGCAGCGGCTGCAGTGGGCGGGGCTTCACTCTCTGCTGGTTTGCTGCTTTGCTCCTCTGTTTGTGGAGGAACCGTCTCCTGCTCCTGCTGCTGCTCAACTTCAGGAACCTTCTCTGGTTCCTTCTTCACATCCGTCTCTGATCCCGCCTCTGTCGTCATCACGGCCGGCACACTAACACACACAGAACAAACAACAGCGTCAAAACACACGTGACAGACACATTACTGTTATACCGTAGAATGTACTTTAACCATAATAAATGTACTACAATTATTGATAAAGTCCGCATTTACTCGAAATGTTTATTTTCCTAGCTCACATTGATGTACGTAAGATGAATAATTAATCAGCGCAAGTTAATTCACTGAAGACTGTGTTTGTTTTGGTAATCTTCAATCAAAATCTGACCAGTTGATTTTGCATTTAGAGTGGCGTTCTATGTTGACATCAACCTGGGGGTTTCCATAGCAACTGCATATTATTACCCTCTCTGAAGCCTCATTCGCACTACGAACATTTCAACAGTGAGCGACTTCCGGCGACCTCAGTCTACGTGAGCAACAGCCACTGTTGACAACCAGGTGGGCGTGTCGAGCAACACAACAAAGTAGAGATTCCTTCAACTTTATGTAAATGAAGAGTGACTTCCTTGAGTGACAGCCAATAGGTGCAGCAGTAGAGCTCGCACGATTCTCTCTCAGCTCACTCAGAGGCTAATTGTATTCTCCATACTGTAGACATACACAGACCTGGGTTTGCAGCAAAGTCGCTGCTGGTGTCAATGAGGCATAACCGTTAGTTTGCTGAGGAAACAATTCACAAAAGAAAGCTCCGCCCCCTACTTAATATTCATCTTCAGCGTGAAGTACATCAACATACTGAAATAAGTCTCAGCAACTTCAGGTTCACACTGATTTGAAGAAATATGGATGAATAATTAATGTTTGCTTTTAAATATACATAGACATGTTAATATTGATTTATTAGTGAATTATTCATTTTTCTTTTTTTGGCTTAGACCCTTTATTAATACGAAGTAGCCACAGCGGAATGAACTGCTAACTTATCCAGCACGTTTTTTTTTTTACGCAGCAGATGCCCTTCCAGCCGCAACCCATCCTAGGGAAACATCCACACACACCAATTTATTAGTGAATTATTAATATTTTATTCAATATTATAAAAACATAATTAAACCATTAATTATGTGGACCAAAAAAATTTTTCTAAATGAATTAATTGTAAATATAATAAAATTTCAGAGAGACCTAAAGGGGCTTCAAACCTGCTTCTTACATTGCAAAATAATAATAATAATAATAATAATAATAATAATAATAATATTGTAATTGATAATGACAATAATAATAATAATATTAAAAATAGTAAAAATGATAATAATGATAAAATAAAAAAATATTAATAATTATTAAAATAATGATAATAATAATAACAATAATAATAATAATGATGATAAAAAATAATGATAATTTTTATTATAATATTAACAATGATGATTATTATATTATTAAAATACTTTAAAAACAACACTAATAATAATAATAATTATTATTATTAAAATAATGATAAAAACAATAATAATAATATAAAAATAATAATAGCAATGATTATAATGATAATATAAAAATAATGATAATAATAATACTATTAAAAATAATAATCATAAAAAATAATAATGCCAGTAATAGTAATAATAATGATGATGATAATAAAAATTAATAATAATGATAATAACAAAATTGATATTGACAATAATAATAATAATAATTATTATTATTAATAATAATGTTAATTATAAAAATAATAATAAACAATGATAATAATGATTATATTATTAAAATATTATTAAAAACAACAACAACAACAACAACAACAATAATAATAATATTAAAATAATAATAATAATGATAATATAAAAAATAATAATGACAATAATAATGATACTATTAAAAGCAATAATAAAAAAATCATAATAATGATAATAATAGTAATAATAATAATAATAATGATGATGATGATGATAATAAAAACAAATAATAATAATAAAAATAACTAAATTGATATTAAAAATTATAATAATAATAATAATAAAATTGATAATAATGATAATAATAATAATGAAAATAATGCTAAAAGACAATAATAAAATGTATAATAATAATTCAAATAATGATAATAATAATAAAATTGTTTATGACAACAAAACAAAAATAATAATAGTAATAATAATAATAATGACAGTAATAATAATATCAATAAAAAAAATATAATAATGAGGATGATGATAATGATGCTACATTTTTATTAGTACAAATGTTAAGACAACATCCATATCAGGCAAAAAAAAAAAAAACTAAAAACAACAAGTACATCAAACAACTAAAGCACGTTGATCATTTCAGAGAGCAGAAGTGATGTGAAAGCTGGTCAAGAAATCTAAATTTACTCGTATCCATCGTCACATCAAGTCATTCAGTGCAGGTAGACAAAGAGTCGGTGAAGAATGAGGAACATCAAAACCTTCTTTCATCCGAAAAAAAAAAGTGACTGATCAAACCACACCATGAGCAAACACACTACAGTATTCAGTGCTGAGGAGCGTCTGTGTGTGTCTGTTTAACACACAAACACAAGCTGATCAAACACAGGTATCTTATAACACACACACACACACACACACACACACACACACACGCACACACACACACATAATCAACTGAGCGCAGTTAAAAACACATAAAATAGAAGCACAACATGGTAATGTGCTGCAAAAACTAGTGATATTTCGAAAATGACTATTTATACACAGCAAAAAGGAGTTGATGAGTGCTGAAATAATGAAAATAAGATAATCCTTTCATTAGAGGACATGTAAGGTGATGAATTAAAGCAGATCTTGCAGACAGAATGTCGATCCACTGCATTTGAGAATGTTCACTGACTTTTATCAATACGATTCCATGAAATATTGATATTTAGGGCTGCAACTAACGATTATTTGACTTATCAATTAATCTGTTGATTATTTTATATAGAATTCCGCAGTTTCTGTTTATTTACTTGAGTAAATGTGTGTAAATTTATATTTATTCCATTTTTAAATTAATTACAGTAATATTGTTGACTAATGTGAAAATATTTATATGATTTACTTACAATACGGTTTATTTTCTGTCTTTTACTAGATATATTATATGAAAGATTAGCTTTGTTTACTAAATAAAGTGGATCTAATTGGATTTGCAGTTTAAACATCAAATAAAAGTTAAAACGGCATTACTTTTTATTTCATATATTAAGGTTTTAGTTATGATACTCACAAAAAATAATTTCACATAAATCTGCAGATTTTTAACTAAATTCTGCGCAGAAATAGCAAAATAATGTCAGCAGATTTCGTCTGACTTATAACTTATATTATTAATAATGAACTCTAGAAAAAACGTGATATGCAAACGGCCCCTAAAAAGCCGGCATCATTTGCGAACTCCAGCAGTTGATCTTGCACAGACATGCTGGATTCACCTGATTTGTTGAGCGATGGATTGCGAATTTACTCCTTGGCAGTTTGAGGGGTTCCCCACTTGTCCTTTTCCCCTTCACAACAAAACTTTCCAAATACGTCTGTTCCATACTCATTTTGCTACTTGTAGGTTAAATTTTGGGGCTCAAGAGGTCGAGATATAACCAAGAGAATACGCTCATTTTTCATAATAAAAGGATTTTCAGATTCAAAGATTTTTCATACTCAGTTAATAAATAAAACCGAAATAATTAATGATTTCTTGTGAAGCCCGGTACTAATTGATCCACAGACTGCCTACATTCCCTGACCTGGGGACTGAGGACCACTGTTTGAGAAGAGTCAAAAACTTACAGCACCTTAATCCAAAAACTATTGATATTTTAAAAAAATAATGATTCATGAATAGCAGAAAGGGTTTAAAAGTGTTGAAATAACTAAAATAATGTTTTCCTTTTATTTCAAGGACACATGAGGTGAATGATCAAAGCAGAAGCCACTGATCTCGCCAGCAGAATATGTGAAAAATGTTGCTTCATGGCATTTGAGAGTATATATTGAACTGATCACAATTAAATAAATGATGCATGTAAAACACATTACTAATGTTCAAAACATGTGTTGTTATTATCAGATGTGTCACGTACAGAAATGTCAAACATGGAGGAATCCCATCATCATCATCAACCTTACAATCCTGGACCACATCGCTAAACAACTCGCAACGTTCAGCAGGACTTCACAGAGCAAACCACAACACACACCTGAGCTGACAGACAAGTGTCTCTTCTCTAACACACACACACACAGACACACACACTAACACTAACACTCAGCGTTTCCTCCAGATGACGGCAGGAGGAGTTCAACATGCTGGAGGAATTGTTGGAGTTTCTGAGAGCACACAGCTGTTATAAACACACCCACACACACAAAGAGAGAGCGAGAGACGTCCAGCTGACCCGCGGCCAGGGGAAAACCACCAAAAGAGATCTGCTATGAGAAACTATGCATTACATCACCACCATCATCATCATCATCATATATCACACATCATACATCCTCAAATCTTTAAAAAAAAAAAACAAAGGACTATATACAGCTTGTTTATAATTGACAAGTGTTTGGTAAAACTGGTGTCGGCCAATTAAATCCTGTGGTCATCTGTAATTCATGGACTAGATTACAAGTCTTCTTAATTCACTGTTACCTTAAGTGAGGTACAGATGAATATTAACGTGGACATGAACTCTGCGCTCTGTGTTTGGTTATGACAGTAAATCTCCACAGCTTCCAATATATATATATTATATATATATTATATATATATATATATTATATATATATATATATATATATATATATATATATATAT